CATACCCAATTGCAAATAATGTAATCATTGATTTATTTTATATTCAGCAGAAAATATTTAGAGTTATGTAAGACTTTCTAAATAAGGATAACACACACCCAACCCACCAATAAAATTGGATATTTTCATGATGCTGCGCAAAATTGCGGATAACTATATACACGATTATAGTCATCATCTTTGCCATTATCAAAATAACTTTCAACATAATCGGTTGCATCTCCATATTCATCTTCTTCTTGAAGTAATTGGTCTGCCACTTCTTCTTCATACTTCTCAAACTCCTCCTCACCACCCACCACCTGAAAAATTTCAAGCAGTTGTATTAATAATATAATTAGATATATTGATATTGATATGAAAGCTTTATAAAAATTACCTTTTAATTTTTTTGTTTTCTCTTGATCTTCTTCTTCTTCTAATAAATCTCCAAGAGTTTTATCCAAGTCAAAATGAACTCTTTTATTATTTTCTATTAAATAGTAAGAAATGTTTTAATAAATAAATACATTGAAATATAATTGAAATAAATAAAACTGATGTTTGTGTAAATACGTATATGTATACATACATACCTTTGAGTACACTGGTTGAAATTAGTGAATCATTTTTAATAATCTGTAGTTCTTCAGGAAAAAACTTCAAGTCTAAACACATATTTGCTATTTGATTAATTTTATGAAACAATAAATCTACTATTCTCATTACTTCCTTTTATTTATTTTACCTATTTTTAAATCTTTTAAAGAATGATTTGGTCGTCTTTGCTTGAATTGATTAGAATATTTTTGGACCTCTACATATTAAAAAGGCTAATTATGATTTTGATATCAAAAATTAGTTAAATTCTTTTTTTATATTTTTACCTACTGCTGGTGAAGGTGTAGTAATGTAGAATGCTGAATCTTTGAGTGCAGCTTTATAACTAAATAATGTATTAAGAGTATGTTCTTCTTCAGTTGGCCTCAGTGGTTCAAGTGATTCAATCTTCAAATTTACAAATTTGAATCTGATTCTTGTGCCATAAAATGTTCATAAATGGATAAATCCTACCAATTCTTTATTTTATTCTCATTTTTCTTAATTTCTTTGGCTAATAGTTCTTCAATCTCTTTTTCCTTTAATTCTATCACGATTTTTTCCTGTTTCTTGAATGACAAAATTTTCAATTAATAAATTAATTCCATTCTGTCTGTATCACTGAAATCTAGCCAAAGGTTTTTTTCAAACTTCTTATTTAATTCATTAATGGGGGTGAAATTCTGATTGACTAATTTGAATTTCACGTATGTAAATTTGAATTTCACATATGTGAATTGCGAATTCACATAATTTCATTTTCACGTACAACAGTAATACCAATGTTCACTTTGTCTGGTTTTGTTGCAGCATGCCCCATTTATAAGAAATGTCTATCAAAAAATATCCAAGAAATTTACCTTTTGGACCCATATATGGGTTAGTTCCGACCACCATCACCAGTCCACGCACAACACCAACTGCGGCTTTTAAACCAATACAACTGTTTCGCCTTTTATATTTAATTAATAAAATTTAGGAGAGTAAATTTATCTAAATCTATGTAAACCGCAAAATTTTCTTATTAACTCGAAAACAAGCCGAAATTTTCGGTCGGTCTCGGGCTTGCCTTTAAAACATTCGGGTTGACACTTAACTGACCTGTTTGGAGTTTTATTCTTCACTCTTGGGAAAGAATCAACATCTCGTTCTGCTTTTCATGTTGTTGCCTGGTATATTGGAAGAAACTGATGAATCAAATGTTCCTTTAAATCGATTATTATACAGAAAGCCATCATATATTAGTATCGGATAGAATTCAAAAAGTTACCTTCTAGTAATGCCATTGTTAATTGGAGAAAAAAGATTTAAAATCATCTTTTAAATTTTGAATTGCGATATTTATTTACAGCATATTATGAACAATTTTTATTGTTCACGTTATTATTAATCAATCAGAATTTTGTATCCAAACACCACCCAATTCATTTTTATTTTGTTCAAAAACAAATAATCGATAAATATTTATCAATCTTTGTATTTGGTTTGGGTATTAGATTTGGTGTAATATTTGAAAATAAATACGTGTTTGCAATTATTCAAGCGCACAGGCGATTTGTTTTCTTTAAACAAAGATCAAAAAATATCGAGTTTATTATTTAATAAGTTAATCTACTAATTATTTAATAAGAAAATAATAAATGAACCAAGTTGACATTTGTTATTAATTTTCTATAATTTATTCTAAAATAATAATATAATTTTCTAATTTAGAGGAACAAACAAAAATCTATTTGGTGTATCAGCTGTTAAACCTTTAAGTATATTTTTAGTGCTTGCAGTAATTAATCTTCGAGTCATTTTTGCAGGAGTAGTATTACCAAATCTACCAATGCTCAGAGCAATAGCACCAGAAACTTGTGGAGCTGAAAAACTTGTACCGGAAAGTAATTCGGGAGCATTATTAGCAATACCAACGACATTTACACCAGGAGCAAAAATATCAACACATCTTCCAAAATTTGAGAAGGAGGCAATTGAATCATTGAAAAAATCAGTTGAACCTACTGAAATTGATGTTTGTGCAGCTGAAGGTGTAAAATTACAACCATCTTGTGACTGATCACCAGCCATTACAACAACATGTATGCCTGCATCTGTGAGAGATTTAATTGCCGTGTCTACTATTTCTTCGATACCATTATAACTCAGTGAAATATTAACAACTGATTTTCTATTCTTTTTTGTTAAGTGGTCTCTTAATATAAATGCAATGCCATTTAAAAGACCATCGGTAAAAAAAAATTCGCCTTGGTACACTTTGACAGCTACAAGTTTAACTTTTTTTGCCGCACCAAAAGTTGTGCCGCCAATAATACTTGCTATTGCGGTACCAGTACCATCAACATCGTTCAAAACACATCCATTACAAAATACACCGCCAATTCTAGCACGATTACCAAATTCTGGGTGTCTTACATTTATACCAGAACCAACCACATAAACATCCACACCTGCGCCTGCTGTACTAGGAAACCGGTATTTTCCGTCTAAAGGAAATCTTCTTTGATCTATACGATCCAAGTTGTGCGGTGGAACATTTTGACCGGTTGCTTTTACAATGACATCTTTTGTTTTAACAGTTTTAGAAGAAGTTGTATTTTTTATAGTAGGAATTTTAACTCTCACCACTTTTTCAACTGATAGGACATCGGACAATGGTTCAATTTGTTCTTTGACAAATTTCTCACTAAATAAACCCGAATAGCCACTAAGAGTACCAACAGAAAAAGATAATACTTTATTTTTTGCCACTTTCTTGGTAGTTGAAGCGCTATTAAAGTTATCATCATCCAAAATTGATTCGGAATCTATACCCCAGCATTCTTTCAAAAAATTTAAATGTTGTTCAACGGTTTTTGAGCTTTTTGAAGCACTAAAAGCACCCGTCGATCCTTTTGTTGGTTTAAGCAAAACCACATATTTTTCCTGCTTTTCATTGAATTTACTGCTGGAAGCATTTGTAGGACACTCGGTTTTGGCTGAATTGGCTAAAACCGCAGAGAACAATAATAATAAAACCAAAGCGGTGGTGATTGAAAAAGATTTAGAAGAAATCATTTTTGTAATGAAAATGAACTTGATTGACTGATTTATTTATTTATTTTGTTTTAGTATTAATATTATATAAATAACAAGAATGAACGAATGAATGAATGAGGTAAGTGGACAACCAACTAATTCCCGAGGTGAAGAAATTGGTCGTTGAAGGGAGAATTGAATTAAACTAGTTAGTGGGGAAGGGAATGAGATTAATGAATGGATTGATTTGTGGAAAGAGGGAAAAGGAGGAAAAATGACAAAGAAGAAGAGATTCATTTAAAAAAAAAGTCTAATTTATACATAAAATTTTTTTTTTTCGTGATTTAGACGCGAATGTTTGCAAAATAACAAATAAATTACATACGTAAGACGAACTTTTTTTAAGTTGGTGATTTTTATTGGCCAATTTTTTTCAAAATATGTAATAGTAGGAACGTTTAAAATTACGTGTAACGTTTTAAAAGTACAAAAAAGCCAATAATATAATAATCATTATCTAATATCCATTTGAGATTGAATAATAGGAAATGAAAGCTTTTAGTTATTTGCAATTTTAATACATGTCGCGTAAATTCTCATTTTAATTCATCATCACACCAATATCAATACTAATTATTTATTCGTCGTATGTGAGGCATACCACATTGCATTCATACATGGACAAAAGTTTCGGTCATTACAAATCAAATAATTTTGCACCAAATTGTGGCCCAAAGTTCTCAAAAACATGCATGCAAAATTTAACAAACAAAAAAAAAATTAAAAGAACTTGTTAGCCTGCTAAAAAAAAAATTAATTGCTCACAATGAAATTTTGGCATATAATATTAATATGTTGGAATCTGACAAAACGCGTCGGACATATTCTATATATATTTTTTGTTATTTACTTTTTTAAAAAATTTTCTAAAATTAAAAATTTTAAAAAGAACCTGAACGTGGTCAAATAATTGAACTGTATAAAGACGGATGGAAGATTTTCACGTATTATAAAGCACTTGCTTGGCCTTGCTAGGATTGCTAAAGTTAGAATGATAAAAGACTTTCTGAAAAAGATAAGGTTGAAGAGTTATTAAAAAAGTGGACGTCTTAAATTTTGTGTGTTGATCAAAGAGAATAGAAACTTTATTACAAATAATGGGCAGCCAACAAAACATTGTCTTTACAAATAGCTACTTTATTATAAATCGTCAAAGTTTTAGATTGTATGTTTTTGAGTGAGCAAAATTTTAGCTGAATTTCTATTTTTTTAATTAGACATAACAGAAACTTGAAATTTTGCATACTTATTTTTGAGAATCTAAGTTACAAAATTATTATACTTTTATTTAATGATATATGACGAAACTTTTGGCTTTAGTCATTGGCGTAACTAAATTGTTGACTAAAGGTAGTTTCTCACCAGGGTCATTTTGACGATTTGACTAAGGTAAAAGCCCTTGACGTAAGCAAAATCACTTGACATAATTAAAATAATTGACGCAAGTAAAAAATGCTTGATACAAGTAAAAATACTTGATACAAGTAGCAATAATGATAATGATAAAATAGAATTATCAAAGGTTCCAAATTATATTATATCATTGTATGTATATTGCAATGATGCAAGAAAAATAATTATCATGGGAAGTTTAATTTGAGTTAGAAATTTTACTTACAAATTAAACTCATTCTTTTGACTTTGACATAATAGTAATACGCAAATAATATTAATAATATGCTTGAGCAGTCTTTGGTGTCTGAGTTTGAAGGTTGGTCAATATTGGTACTTGGAACGACCTTTACATAGCACATAAGGCAGATTTTGGTGCATGTTTTAATTTTGGTTTCTGTTTTCATCACTTTTAAATCTTCAAAGAATGCTGAAATTCTTTTATTGTTGAATCAATTATTAGAGTTTGTTGATGATGAAGTTGCTCTTTAAATAATGTATTTTTCGCTTTTCAATTTATTATCAAACGAAAACTTTACAGCAGGAGATTTTTAATTTTCATTTTTATTTTTATTCAACGAAAATTTCATTAACTTGAATAGGGAATAACTTTTGGTCTTTGCTTGAAAAAGTAAAGAATAAACTTAGGATCCTCGCTTGAGAAAATTAACATTCTAATAAAATAAAGCTCTGATAGAAACATAAAAATAAAAACGTTGTTTTATTTTCTTTGTATTGTTTAAAACACTTTGATAAAAGCAACAAGTGTAATGCCTTGGTAAAAAGTAACAATTCGGAGCTTTGGTAAAAAGTCACGCTTTATTTGCCTTAGTGAATAGGCAAAGGTTAGGACCAACGTTGGTTAACTGGCGGGTGTTAATGAAGCATCGTTCAAATGTTAATCGGAAATACTGGTGGCATTGTTGTAATCATAAACATAGGGCTGTTAAACAAGCCACTTAAATTGTTTTGAAAGTAAACAAAGCGAGTTTGCAATGTCAATAATGTAAATGACTGAAACAAGTTGAAGCCCTCGAGTTTCGTAAAAGAGTCATATTTATTTATTTACAGTTACCCGGTATCATTAGGTGTGTTCACAGATTCGCATAAGTGCAAGAAGGAGCCAGTAATCGAGATGCACCAAATTATTGTAAGTTTGTTGCAATTAACTGACAAGAGCTAAGCCATAATTGGTCATACTTGTTAAATAATCGGTATTAACTGAAATGATACCTAACAATATCATCATTTAACAAGAATCAAAAAACAGTGAAAAGTTTATTATTTCAAAATAATTTAGCTTTAAGAAATAAAATAAAAAGATAAATAATTATAATGGATAATTTATAGTGAGATTAAATTAGTCATCCGTCAATTCTTTCTTTTGATTATTAGAATCTAATGCAGTCAAATGTAAATAAAAAATAAATTTATTAATAATTGATGAATAATAAGTTCCAATTAATTAATAATAATGAAATTTTTATTCACCCTTTGTTATATCATTTAAGAGAAGAGAGTTAAAATCAAGACTATTTAACGAGCTGTCATTACTTGTATAAATTTTTAAGCTTTTAGATTTGGCAATCTCTTCATCCAAGATTCTACTTTTATGATATGCATCTGGATGTGATTCGTATACTTGTTGCGAATTATTACTACTACTAGTAATATTATTACTATTATCATTATCATTATTAATAATTTCTTCTAGTTTGTTTTCAGCGAAATCATAAAGCTCTCTACTAGTTGGTCTTTTAGATGGATCCACATCCCAACATCTCTGCATCATTTGCACATAATCATCAGGCATTCCAGGCAGTATTGGTGGTCGTAAACCTTCTGCACATATATCAAAAATCAAACG